ATATAATATAAGCTCTGGCGGACTTGGTTCTATGGTAGGTCTTAAAGGTTTAAGAGTTAGGGGAAAAACATTTGCAGTTTTACCTTGTTATACAATATTTAAAATTAAGCCTCAGCCATTCTCCTGACACATGTGGGATAGCTAACGGTTTCTGCTTAGGCAGCAGTTGTCCCGTGGATTACCTGGTCAATTCTTTACCAGCCATCCCAGCTTTGGTCCTAAATTGACACAACACTGTGTTAGTTTCTAATGAACATCTTTAACAAGATCATACAACTCATGGGGTTCAATGGGAAGTCAAGGTGGCAAGGGAGAGAGCCCCACGAGCTGGGAAGACTACTTAAATATTTCAAGTGTCGTGCATCTGTCATCGAGGAAGAACACCTAGAGCCTAAAGAAAGAGTTCACACCTGCAGACTGTCACAGTGATAGAGTGATTCAAATAAATAACTGAAAAAGTGAATTAACCTTGATGTATTGCTTGCATATATCATGAGTACAGGAGGAAATATTTGCTTGCCTAAAAACACAATCCAGACATGTCAAGCTGAACATTTCAATTGAGTTTTAAAAACTGTTTTCATGTCAGAATGACAGTAACTGCTGTGTGACTTGCAGTGACGATGCTGACTGGGTAGAAAGTCCTAATTGTATCCAAATATCAGCATCAGAGTGTGACCTGACACAGTCCCTAAACGCCTCGGATAGGTAAGAACAACACTTCCATCACCCTTAAACACATCTGGTTTACATCAAGCTTACTCTATACTCTTACTTTTGATTCTTTTCTTATTGTCAGCAATATTTGTGCTCTGTGATTTTACTCAAGAAAAGTTATATGTACACTACCAGTCAAACGTTTGGACACACCTTCTCATTTAATTGTTTTTCTTTATGTTTACTTTACAAATTAAATCATATGAAGCAACATATATGGAATTATGTAGCAAGAAAAAAACATTGATAAACACCCTTTTGCTCTGTTGACAGAGCTGCAAACCCTCGGCCTTCTCTCAGTGGGCTTCATGATGTCGTCACCTGAAATGGTTTCGCTTCACAGGTGTGACTTGTCGGGAGTAATTTGTGGGATTTCTTGCCATTTTTATGGGATTGGGAGCATCAGTTGTGTTGTGCAGAAATCAGGTTGGCAGAATGAGGGCAGAAAGGTCAACAAGTTCTCATCATCTCCTCCTTCAAGTCTGTTGGAAAACCATTTCAGGTGACGACCTCACGAAGCCCATCGACAGAATGACAAGCGTGCGCGAAGCAGTAATCGAGGCAAAGCGCGGCTACTATGAAGAATTTAAAATACATCTTTTGAGTTGTTTCACACTTTGTTGTTTACTACATAACTCTATATGTGTTCATTCATAGTTTTGATGCCTTCAGTGAGAATCTACAATGTAAATACTAGGGGTGGGG